AGTGCAAAGGGTGTAGGATAAAGAAAATGTGCAGGACTGTGAAGAAGGGAGTCAATGATTTCAGTTGGAAGGACCAGGAAGGCTGCGTAAATGTGGTGACACTTCAGGGCACAATCGAAGGATGCATGGGATCTCACTGAACAGAATGGGAAGAGAGATGGGGAGGGCATTCTGGATGAGGGAACAGATATAAATGGGTGATAAAATCCAAAGCACAGACAACACCATGCGTAGTTTTAATTAAGGCGTCTTTCTTTTTAAGCGTGTAAGAGCCATTGAAGTACTAAAGTAACAGAGCATAATGGTAAGATTTACATTTTTAAAAGTGGACTCTGATAGGAATAGAAGTTTCAAGACTAGGCCATACATTTATTTCACCCAGGAGTGCTTAAAAATACGTATTCCTGGGCTCCACACACAACCAACAGAATCTGAATCTCAGAAGAGCCTGTCCCATAAATAGGTGTTTTGTAAATCCCTCAGGTGATTTCTTATGCTGCCAGAATGGCAACCGTCAGAAGTCCTGTGTTTTGGAACAATTTATATTAAGGGAGAATGGGATTGCAAAGAGCCTACATGCTAAGAGTTAGGGAGCTGTCAGGGGTCCAGGTGTGGACCATTGGGTGCCTGAACTGGATGGAGAGAGAGGCAGAGTCAGGAGCAATTTCTGAAGTATAAGTGTTGGTAGGATGTTAGAGACCCTTGGATGTGTGAGTGAGGAAGCAGTTGGAAGATCACTTGAAGGTATCACACTGGGTGGCACTGTGGATGGTGACACTGTGAGCCAGAGTGGGGAATGCAGGAGTAAGAGGTGGAAAATCGAATGCCTGCATATGGAGGGTGTGGGGTATGTGATCAATCAGAGGGGATTGACCAAGGCAATAATGAATTTATTTTAGAGTATCCAATCCAATTTCCTTATATTGCCAATGAGAAAAGTGAGGCTCAGAGTGGCATAGTGACTGCTCTGAGGTCACAGAGCTAGCTGTTAGGGACAGTGGTAAAAGAATGCACCTGGTTTAATAGAAAACTTGACATACTTCCTGCTACTGTCCCCTGACCAGAAGATTCGCTGCTTTCCTGTACCCACTGAGAGCATCTATATAGTACTGATTACCAAGTGAAAATATCATTAAATGCACATTATGGCTGTATTGCCTGTGTATATTTTTAGCTAGAAATCCATGGCACCAAATGTTGGGACAGAGGGCCAAGTATGGATTTAATGATGCTTCATAAAGCCAGAAGGCTGAGAGCAGGGAGACAGCTTAGAGATCAGCCAGCTGCATTTTATAGACACCTCAGAAATGCAACCAACTGCATCTTACAGAGGAGAAAATTGAGTCTGAGGGAGAGAATCATATTTGTCTAAGGCTGCGTTGGTAACAATGGGTAAAGACTCATGTCTTTCAGCCCTTTAATTCATTGCCTTCTGCTATGAGGTTGCTTGATCATTTCTGAAGCCATCATATTAATTTTTGTGATTCAGTTGATTGCTTTGTCATTTAGCACCCTTCAAAGGTAAATCATGAGCCACATTTACACGGCTGTGGAGTGTGTCTTTAGAGACTAAGTGGGAACCTACATTGTGAATTGGATTACTTTCAATGCAGGCATCCAGTATGGTCCTTAGAGCCAATGTCCATCTGACATCAATAATATCCTTTGTTCCACGTCCTCTTCTGAATCTGGGTACAAAGTATGCAGTTGTAGCACAGAGCACAACACCTGGACCGTACTAGTTATTCAATAAATGTGTTAAAAGAATGATCTAACCTCAAAGGCTGTTTTTGAACAAAGTCTTTTTTTTTTTTTTTTTAAGTATATTACCTATGCTAAATACTTCAACTCTCTACTCTGCTCACGTATAGACACACACTAAGAGTCACATGATTCACATTTTTTTCTTAATAAGACATAGCAGAGAGAGCTGTCAGCTGACAAAAGGATAAAATGTGAGTACTGGCAATGCCCTGATCTGAGTGTGACCCTGGGATGGAATGCCAAAAATACAAACTTTCAAAGTTTCCTGGCCCAGTGACCTCAATATACAAAGATCTTTTCTTTCTAGAAATAAGCTTCTTCTCCTTGTTTCTGATCGGACACACATACACTCACAAGCTCAAACACACACACACACACACACACACACACACATTTCGTGAACCCGTATGAAGGTGTAAAGGAGCCCTGGTAGCGCAGTGGTTAAGAGCTTGGCTGCTAACCAAGATATCAGTCGTTCGAATCTACCAGCAGCTCTGTGGGAGAAAGATGTAGTCTGCTTCTGTAAAGATTACATCCTTGCAAACCCTATAAGACAGTTCTGCTCTGTCCTACAGGGTCCCTATGAGTCAGAATTGACTTGATGGCAATGGGTTTGGTTTTTTTGATTATGAAGATGTATGCCTGTGCGTTGCTTTTTGTATATAGTTTTAAAAATGATCCTATGCCACGTATTTGAAATGTAAAATCTTTCTTCCTGAGGGCCACCTTACTCTACCATGAAAACCTCTGGACAATCAGATTATTGAATAACCCATGACTTTGCCCTTTATCTGATTAGTTGCCTGAAAGGGATCATGAGACATCCTTGAAAAGCCTAGAGGTCTTCAGTCCTGAATGATCACAGAAGCCTTTTTTCTCCTATTTATCTGAAATGTCACGGCCACCCTGAGCATTATCAAAGGAGATCACTGTTTGCATTAGATATTTAAAAGAAAAAAGAAAGAAATTTAAAGCTCATTTAGGAAAAATGGAAGTTCATCTGTGAGTTGTGTATCATATGTAGAGTATTTCACAACTTCCTTTCATTGACTGGATGATTGTGGGGAAAAAAAATGATTCTGTGGTATGACCCATGTAAGGAATGTTTTTAGGATTGTCCCGTACTGGTCCTGACAACGTGCTCTTCAGTGCACACGTGAGCATCCAGGTTGTCAGTTCCCTAAGAAAGGGAACCCTTGACTTCCATCCATTTTCACTAAATGTTTAGGGATCATTCTTTTCTTACAACTTGCAGTGCTAATGGCACTGTGTATAGAACAACCTAGAAAATAACCTTGATCTCAAAATTAAGTGTTAAGTTCAAAGTGTTCTTTGAGGTATGTTGACCTATATTCAGCATTTTATTCCTTCCAAGAAAAGGTGACTTGTTAAATATATACCTAACATTGTTTTAATTTTTATAACTTTATAAGAACCTTAACATAAATAAATTCCCAAATCAGAATAAAAAGTCTTTTCCTGGTTATGTATTTAAAGGGTTTTTGTTTCAAAAATTATGAACCCAGTCTTCATTAGCTACTGTTTTTAGCAATCACTAGTAGACAGAGCTAGAATAGGATTTTGTTCACTTTTTTTAGTTATCTGAAATACCTGTAATTTTTCATCATAAACTCTTTTCTGGGATTCTATTTCAGAACATAGATCATAATATCTTTCATATTTTTGAACATGCTAGGGAAAAGGAAGAAAAACTCAAGTACCAAATAGTTTTAAGGTACTGGTGCTGAGCACTTTACATATGTTAATTCATTTCATCCTCATGACCACTCTGTGAGGTTCATATTATCATTACCATTTTGTAGGTGAGGATGGCAAAGCTTAGAGTATTTAAGAAACCAAACCAAACCCATTGCCGTCGAGTGGATTCCGACTCATAGCGACCCTATAGGACAGAGTAGAGCTGCCCCATAGGATTTCCAAGGCTGTAAATCTTTACAGAAGCAGACTGCTGCATCTTTTTCCCACTGAGAAGCTGGTGGGTTCAAACCGCTGACCTTTCGTTAGCAGCCATTCGCTTCACCGCTGTGCCTCTTTATGTTTAAGAAACTGCCAATATTGCAAATATTCAATTAGAAAATTAAACATCAGAGAAAAAATGATTCCAGCTGATTCTAACTGATTCCAAAACTTGAAGTTTTATCCTTTTTTCTTTTTCTTTTTTTTTAAATAACAGAGGGCCTTCATTGCCCAATAGATTGTAGACTACTTAGGGGTAGAGATTTAGTTCATTGTATTCCTGGCATCTAGATCAGCTACTGGCACTGACATAGTAGACGTCCAATAGATATCTGTTGAAGTGAATGAGACACTCTTGGTATATAAGCATGAAGAAAAGTGAGTACAAGACTGGTTTAGTAGTTGAGAGCATGTAATGGTGGAAAATGAGCATTGATTATGGATTCAGACAGGTCAGGTTTGAATCTCACTTCCCAAACTTACCATCTGTATAATTTGAGTAAGTTACTCAGCCTCTCTAAGCCACAATTTTCTCATTTGAAAAATGGGGATAATAATTATATCTTCCTGATCATTTATGTAAATCACATCTCTGATGGTTAGTAAACATAAAAGAAATGTTAAATATTATTATTCCTCCCTAGTTGGAGTAGATTGTGGATACCCTTTTAATATACTATATAACTTATTAATTTATTTTTATTTATTATTTATCATCTGTCTTCCCACTAACTAAAATGTGAGCTTCATGAGGGCAGAGAGTCACATGTTTTAATCATTGTATCCCAAGTGTCTAGGACAACACTGTCAAATACAACTTTCTCTGATGATGGAAATGTTTTATATTGGCACTGTCCAACAGTAGCCACTAGCCACATATGGTTTTTTTGAGCATTTGACGTGTAATTAGCTAATGTGACTGAGAAACTTAATTTTAAACTTCATTTAATTTTACTTCATTTAAAATTAAATTTAAATAACCACATGTGGCTAGTGGATAATATATTAGACAGCACACATCTAGAATATTTCATGGTACCCGGAAGTTTCTCAATACATATTTGTTAAATTAATTTCCTTCTTAACACAAAAATTAAGAACAAAGCTGCATGATCGTGTGCTTAGCTGACTCTTTAAAGATTAGCAGTGGAACACTTTACTGAGTGAGCTGTTCATCCTGGAGGCCTCATGAGATTCCAGTCTGTGATTCAGTTTACTGTTGTAATAAGTCATTGATTTGTATTTCTTTTTGGTGACAGGTCAAGAACGATTTGGAAACATGACAAGGGTCTATTACCGAGAAGCTATGGGTGCATTTATTGTCTTCGATGTCACCAGGCCAGCCACATTTGAAGCAGTGACAAAGTGGAAAAGTGATTTGGACTCAAAGTTAACTCTCCCTAATGGCAAACCAGTTTCAGCAGTTCTGTTGGCCAACAAATGTGATCAGGGGAAGGATGTGCTCATGAACAATGGCCTCAAGATGGACCAGTTCTGCAAGGAGCACGGTTTCGTGGGATGGTTTGAAACATCGGCAAAGGTAATGTGACCTTAAAAGAAAAACTTACTGTAGGTAAGAGTCACAAAGAAAATGGTGCATAATCATCATCATCATCATCATAATGATAATAATATGTGTTTGTCTAGTGATTTATATTTCCCAGATTGCTTTAAGCTCTTACTATCTCGTTGGTTCCTATGATCAAGCTGATGAAGTGGGCAGGGCAGGAATTATTGTCCACAATTTAAGATGACAGTTGGCCCAGGGCTTAAGAGCTCGACTGCCAGTCAAAAGGTGTGCAGTTCACATCCATCAGCCACTCCTTGGTAACCCTATGGGGCAGCCTACTCTATCCTATAGGCTCACTATGAGTCGGAATCAACTTGACAGCAGTGAGTTTCGGTTTGGTAGCTAAGGGAGTCAAGCAACTTATACATGGTCACATTGATAATGACAATAACTTATGTTGTTTATTGAGTATTTATTATGTACCAGACATGTTTTACATGTATTTTCTCTTTCAATCCTCACAATCACTCTAAGAGGTAATATGATTGTTATTAGCTGCTTTCAAGTCAGCCCTTGACTCATGGCGACCCTGTGCACAACAGAACTAAACACTGCCTGGTCCTGTGCCATCCCCCATGATCAGTTGCAGATCAAATTATTGTGACCCATATGGTTTTCACTGACTGATTTTCAGAAGTAGATATCCAGACCTTTCTTCCTGCTCTGTCTTAGTGTGGAAGCTCTGCTGAAGCTTGTTCACAAGCCTCCACTGACAGACAGGTGGTGGCTGTGCTTGAGCTACATCGGCCAGTAATCAAACCTGGATCTCCTGTAAGGAAGGCAAGAATTCTACAACTGAACCACCAGTGTCCTCATAAGTATGATTAATTACTATCTCCATTTTGTAGTAAATGAAAGAGATGGGCCTCAAATTCAGTGATGTAAATTTGTTAATTTACTCCATCAACATTTAGTAAGTGCTTCTGTGTACAAGGAATTGTGCTTTGCCCTAGAAGTGAGAAGATAGCAAGAACACAGAACTACCACATAAGGAATACTGAGATAGTGGGGGGACGGAGAGTAGACAGCAAGTATAAAAGTGAGAACATAGCACAGCTTGGCACTGCTGCCTCTACTGGGTGGCAGCAGAGTAGCAGGGGGTGGGGTAGATGCTGGGCCAGAAGATGAAGGATCTGGAGTGGCATGAGGAAGATTTTGTACTTCCCGTTTTGCCTCACATTGCTGTCTGATTTGTTAGGTATACAGTTTTTGCCTTACTCCCTTTTGTTTTATGTTTTTATTTCTCAGTATCAGGAAAAAATTTCTCGTTGGGCATTTTGAAAATCTCAAAAAAAAAAAAAAAGAGGAAGAAAAAACAGATGAAGGAAATAAAGACAACTTGAAATACTATAAACAGGGATAAGCATAAATGTTTTTATGTACTTTTCTGATATTTTGTGTATGCATTATTAGGATTGTATTCTGCAGGCATTTGTATATTATGATTTTTTTACTTTTATTTATTTGTAGAGAACAAATGTTAAATCTTTGTGGAGCAGAGGCACTGTGATATTTGTTTGGGATTTAGCCATGAATAAGGTAGACATTATGGAACTCACATGCAGGCCTAATT